GCAAACGCATTGAACCCTGGAGTGGATTGGCTCCTGCAGTGGAAGACCATGCCAGATTCTTCTCCTAAGAGCAGACAATATGTCGTAGTAGGCACATGATCAGATAGCAGATGGCAAAAAAAAATTATAGATTCATCCTGTCTTGTGTCAGTGATACAGGCCATTGGTGGTGGTATAATGGAGCAGGAAATGTTTTCTCGGGAGTCTTTAGACTCTTTATGGAGCAAAATCCCTGAGGAATGTTTCCAGCACCTTGTTTAATCCATGCTGTGAAAAATTCAGGCTGTTCTACCTCATATTTCACGAGTATTTATAATAAAGAGGCCATTGTGTATACAGTGCTGTGAAAACCTATTCACTACCTCCTGATTTCTTCTATTTGTGCATTTTTCTCAATGCATTTGTTTCAGATATTTAAACTAAATTTAACAGACAAAGACAAAGAGTAAAAACTAAATCGATCATTTAAAACGATCATTTAATTAATTAAAGGAAAAAAACTTATTCAATTACAACTGGCTCTATGTGAAAATCAAATGCAGTTGGTAAATCAATGTTTCTTCAAGGGTGCTTTAGTAAAGACAATGGTTCTACTTGTATGCTTAAAGAGTTCTTTGCATGGTGAAATTGGAGATTGATTGATGCAGAACGGGTTGTATAATGTTCTATATAGAACCTTTTTGAAAATAGTGTTTTATAGCACCAAAAAAGGTTCTTCTATTGCTACGATGTCAAGGTTGTTACAATAGAAGAACCTTATTTGGTGCTATAAAGAACACTTTTCAAAAAAGGTACTATATAGAACCATATACGACACATTCTCTATCAATCTGAAGAACGATTTTACCATACAAAGAACCCTTTAAGCATGTAAATGGATCTTTGATTGTTCATGGTTCTATATAGAACTGCTGTCTTCACTAAAGAACCCTTGAAGAACTTTTTTAAGAATATAGGCTAAAAGATCTCAACAAGTAGCACACTATGTCACAAACAAACATTCCATGAGAGTTGAGAAAGAAAGCTATTGAAGTGTGTTAGTCCAGAAAGAGTTGCAAAGTGACATCTAAGATTCTGAGACTCCAGTGAATCACATTGAGAGCCTTTATCTCCAAATGGAGAAAACTTAGAGCAGTGGTGAAACTTTCCAAAAGTGTCTAGCCTACCAAAAATTCCTCCAAGAACACAACAACAACTCATACAGGAAGTCATAAAAGAAGCCAGATGAAGCTCTAAGAAACTCAGGCTTGCTCTTCTCAGAAAAGGTCGGCGTTCATGTTTCCACCATTAGAAAGAAACTGGACAAGAGTGGTATAAACTCAGTTGGGTAATACAGCAAGACAACGAGTTTAAGCACAAGAGCAAGTCCACCTCTTAAGGGACTCAAAAGAAGTGAAATAAGCAGTGGACTTTGGAGTGGCCTAGTCAAAGTCCTGACTTTACCCTATTGAGATGCTGTGTTAGGTTCAGCTGACAGCTCATGTTCAAAAGCCCTCCAATGTGGCTGAATTAATAGTTAAGATGGGGGGAGCATTTACTTTTTCACATGGGTGATATTGCATAACTATTTGTCTTCAGTAAATGAAATGATCATTTAAAAACTGTGTTTTCTGTTTCCTTATGTTCCCCTTGTCATATTTCAGTTTGTATGCCGATCTGAAACCATTTAGTGTGACAAACGTGAAAAAAGAGGCAATTACTTTTTTTTTAACAGTACTGTTAATGATATGTTGTAGGCTATATTCCACTCTAAACAAAGTAGTGTTGAAATATATATTAAACAGTTTATCAGTCCTTTCCCCCAGCTAGATGTTTGTTTGTTTGTTTGTTTTGTGCAAGGATATTAAACAACAGATTATGGATGAACCTGAAATATAATCTTGATTCTTGAGGTATCAATGTTTTTGGGAATAAAAGCTCTAAATTGCATCCATTGATTGCTTGGTAACCAGAACCCACCAGCATGCAAGAATAATGATCTAAAATGGCAGGAATTCTGCAGACTTTCAAAGAGTTGTAAATGCTTCTCAAGATCAAGTCTAAGACACTTGCAAAGTTAATTGCAAAGTTAAAAGGCTGCTGGAGGGCAAACATCAGTCCTTAGCATCCTGCAAGCAGTGAGGAGTGGACATAACGCTTGAGGTAGGCAAAAGCAGACCAGAAAAGCTTCATAGCTGTGATGTGTAATCAAACAGTGGCCCGTATCACAGTGCTGTGTTCTATTAAGCTTTTTTAGGACCCTTAATGGGACTCTACAGTATTAGGTTTGTCATGACTTCAACAATGGCTACTGCAGTGAAGAATTCATAGGAAATGCAGTATCTACTTCATTCACTCCAGTGATTGATAACTTGTTTGAGGTGCCTTCTGCCAAGCCGCATTGTCACTGGCTATACAGTAGAGGGCGATACATTTCCTTCTTATTTTTTACATGAAAGGGCTCATGTAAGGGACGATGCAGATAAAGTTATAAAGCAATGCAGTGTGCCTTGCTCAGCAGAGAAAGGCCTTATGAAACAGCTATCACTTTCATAGTGCATTCAAGATAATGGAACAAATGACTTCTGCACATGTCTGATATGTCACTTCCCATATTCAGCCTCTCGCACTATGTGATCATTTATCTCCAGAATTTATGCTATCATTTCTATAAACACTTTATGATTGCATTCTAATGTGCATACCTGTCACTTATAATAGCTGAGCTGTAATTAAAAGCTCACTGAAGGTTTTCACAAGGTAAAAATGCAACACTTCATTATTACGCTCCATCGGTTAGTAATTTTATTAATGTAGGTATCAAAAGTGTGAAAATATGATGGTGCCTTAGTTTATGCTTTGCATTTACAGGCAGTGCATGTTTACATGATCCATCAACCATCAAAGACTGAAGGCAGGTCCTGAAATTTAAGCATTAGAATTCCTTAAAGATAAGTGGTGTGTATAAATTGGAATGTTATGAATTTTCTGTCAAGCATATTGTTTTCTTTGACTTTCAAAGGAGTACAAATAAAGCCTATGGGTGCTTCAGATTTGGCAGATGCAATTAATAATACAGCAGGCTAACAAATCTCTCTGTTTTGAAACAGAAAAAATATGGCACTATAATTCTGAGAGCTGTGATGATGCCACAAGAGCATGTCTACATCAATGCTTGACAGATGAAGATGTTAAAAAGACCCCTTAAGAGGCCTACATAAGAGAAAGGCTACAGTAGAACTCTTAGAAATGTTATTCAGCATTATAACATTCATTATTGGAAGGTTAGGCTTGTGTTCAGGTCACATTACTGGATTGACAACTCCATTCTGGAAATACAGGAGGGTGAAGATCATATACCAAATACCCTCTAAAAACCAGACTTAAACACGCTCATGGCCTCAGAGCTATACAGAGAATGGCTACATTAAATTTTATGCGGAAACAAAATCAGAAAGTTACTTGACCCCAGTATTCCACAAACTTCGGCTTTCAAGAAATTCAGATGGGAACTCATCAAGTCTCACTTCATCTTATGCTGTTTGTCTAATAGTTTGTAGACACCTGCTCATCCAGCGTTTCTTCTGAAATCAAGGGCACTGATAGGAATTTTGTTCCCCTATTGCTGCAGTAACAGCCTTTTCTCTTCTGAGAAGGCTTTACACTAGATGTTCAAAACTTGCTGTGAGGATCTCAAGAGCATTACTGAGGTTAGATACCAATGTAGGATGAGTAGTTCTGGACCACAGACGATTTTGTAGCTCATCCCCGAGGTATTATTTCTATTACATTGGAAGTGCTTTTCTATGGAGATTATACAAGGTTTGTGTGCAAAGTTGAACATTTGTAGCAGCAATGAATGCACCGTAAAATAGTTCACTAATAAGAAGTGGTGTCTGGATACTTTTGGACATATAGTCTCACTGGTCACTTTATTAGGTACATCTACCTTTTTTTCTACACTCATTATCCATTGTGCCAGGTCCACTTACCATTGAAGTTGGGCAAAATACTTTGAAAAAGTAGTGATGACTGAATACTGAATACACTGTCCTAAATATTTTCAGTTATAAATTCCATCACAATACTTAAAAGCAACATATTCAGAACACATTTAGAACACATCTCAATAAAGCTCTGCTGTTGTAATTTTGATTTAATTCATGCTGCCTCTCTGTGTTGCTGGTTGGCAATTTTCTTTGTGTATTTCTTCTGTCAACATGTTTCATAAAAAATTCACTTATTGAAATGAAATTACAAAATTCTCAACATTATTTTGACTCTATGAAGCAAATAGTTTGCCATATTTTCAGTTAACGAGGTAACTTGTCACAAAACGCCTGCATGAGTCCAGTACAACACCTATGCTTATCACTGGTGAACATGTCCACTACTGAGGAGACTGTCCAGTTCCATCATCCCTTAAAAGAGTAATGCTGAGATTAAAAACTGGCTCATCAGTTTGGTTTATCAGTCCACTCAGGCTTTAGCAGGAACTTCAGTGTTTGCAAAGAAGCCGTTTTTCTAAAGGTCTTCTTGAAAATCTGTCTTTACACGCCCTGTGTTAATAAACAAGTATTTGTGGGATTTCTTTGAAATATTGTAAAGATTTTTTTATGTAGTGGGTAAATATTCTGAAGGTATTGTTCTAAAAATGTAAAATGTAACTGTATTCTGAACACTGTCTTCACAAAATGTAAGTGTATTCCCTTTCTTTGCTAATGTGTTACCTTTTTCAACTCATCCATCAATGCTCAAGACCCCCACGGGACCACCACTGAGCAACTAGCTATTATTTGGGTGGTGGATCGTTCTCAGCACTGCAGTGAAGCGCAGGATGATGTGAAACTGAACGAACTGAGTGAGCACCATCACATTTGAATGATCTGTATAAACCGGAGTGTTGTAGTGAAAGATGACCGGGGGGCGGCGCTAGTGCGCAGCCTCACGCGCATTGGTTCTTCATAAATGGAGGCGCGTGTTCTCTCACTCGCTCACTTTAGCTCCTTCAGAGTCCGCGCGGTGTGCGAGGCTCCGTCCGTGCAGCTGTCCATTTAGTCCAGCGAAGGGAGCTGCGGCAGGATGGGGAACAGAGCGCCGGCCGTCCACTGCTCTTTTCTCTAAAGAGGGACACTTTGGGCTGAAGTTTTCAGCAGGATAGCAGGAGTTTGTCCGTTCTTTCTGGCCCGCCGTCAGCTGTCCAGATGGCCGGAGCACAGCCGGGAGTGCACGCGCTGAAGCTGAAACCTGTGGCCGTGCCGGAGAGTCTAAAGAGGGGGAGCAAGTTCATGAAATGGGAGGATGTAAGTAACAGCTTCTCTGGCTACTGTAACTGTTGCAGCAGCAGTTGGAGCAGCACTGCTACACTTCCAGTATTCGGCAACTCATTCACCTTCATGCAGTTAGGAAGATACTGTGTAAATGAAATGTGGCAGCTTAATAGGAGTCTCTAAACAAGCAATCATAAGTTTTGGTCAATGGAATTAAAGGCAGTGGTTCTACGTAGAACTTTGAGTTCTATATAGAACCATTTAAATGCTTAAATTCTTCAGATTGATTGAAAATGTGTAGAATATGGTTCTTTATAATATCTTTTTGAAAATGTTTCTATATAGCACCAAGAAAACCCTTTTTGGTGTTATATAGAACCATTCATTTTGTTTGGAACCATATACAACACATTCTCTATCAGTCCGAAGAACTGTTTCACTATGCAGGACCATTTAAGCATGAAATGTTCTGTATAGAGCTCATGGTTCTATATAGAACCATTGCCTGTATTAAAAAAATCCTTGAAAGAACCATTTTTTTACATGTGTACATGGATACTATGTATTCCCAGTGATTTTTCCCGTAAATGAATGGCTAGCTTCACTTTCCACTCTCATCTGACATGTATCTGGTACATCCAGTACATGGGAGAGACTTAGTTACTAGTGCATCACACAAGCTTATAACCTTTAAATGAGGATCAGTTTGCTGTTCTGATATTCGTGTTGCCGTGACGGTCATTAAAGAGCAATAGTTTTCCATGTAGGCCAATTTTGTACATGAAAGAAAACCTATACATCAGGAGTCAGGTCATCAGAGGAGGAAGCAGCTGGATCACTTACAGATGTGTCAGCCCATTAGGCTACATATTAAAAAGATCTAAAAGGAGCTTGTGGGGTGGTTGTGGTGAACTAAGTTGGGATACATGTTCATTGAGAGGTTTGTTTTGTGGTGAATGTGATTTTCTTTTCTAAACCACCACTGAGAATATATATACAGATCATTTTGGGTGATGTACTGCTCCTCACACATGGACTGGTAAAGAAGGACACTTGTGTGTAACTACCACACATGGTGTAACATTGGCATTTATAGAATCCCTTTATTCAAACAGACTAATGTCTACAGACTTCTTCAGAATGCTGCTGAGAAACAGAGATGGAGGCCCAGATCTGGACTTTTCTGATTCATTAAAAAGATTATATTTAAACAAATTTGCCCTTATCCCAAATGTAATCGATCAGCGTATGAAGTTTGCATATTTAGTTTTGTGCTGGAGTTATGAAGCCAATGTAGCTAACAACTAATGGGCAACACCAGTTTCTACTAGTGTTAATTCTGCTGCTAAAGAAGCAAACTTCAGACACACTTGGACACTGAACACTTGTACAGTCACAATGAGATAAACAGTGATTAAAGCTTTCATTTTTGAGAGAGAGGAGAAAATCAAGCTCCACTCTTATTTCAGATCTGAAAAAGCCACAGGTGTCCATCTTTCCACTGTGAGAAGACAACTCAGTACTATGAGCCTGAAAGGATGTGTAATTGTAAAGAAGCTGTTACAAAGAAAAAAAAGAAGAAAAATTGCAGATCAATCAAGGAGTAGCTGGTGTTTCAGAGCAATGTCCGGACCACCTCAGAGTTCAGGCCTCAACATCACTGAATGTGTTTGGGATTCCTTGGATCATGAGAAGAAGAAAAGACAATCGATTTCTAAGGCTGAACTTTGGAGGTGTGGAAAAATATGCCTGCAGATTTCTTTGGAAAACTGAAAGAAAGTTTTATTAAAGGAAGGAAACTGTAATAAATGCAGTGTGGCCAAACTAAATACTGAAAAATCGATATTATATTTAGTTGTTGAAGCTTCTGTGTAAATATCTGTTAAATAGATATTTTCTGCTGTTTTCCTGTTGCTGAAAAATGAATAACTTGTACTTAAAGGCTGTTTGGACTGGAAATTAAATGAAAGGTGGTCTCTGACTGTTGTGCACTATTGTGTGTGTGTGGAGTGAAGGGAAAATTGGGTAAATTAGGTAATTTTTTTTTGTCAACTTTTCCTTCAAGACTTTAAGACTCAATGTAACTGTAGCAAAAACGTCAGGCTTTGAGGTTATAAGATGAGCTTTTTTAGGTTTTAAGATTGAGCAGTGAGAAACTCAGGCCAGTGCAGATGTGTTATGGAGTTCATAGCTGCCTGAGTTGTTCCGTGCTGCTGTATTTTTACATTTCCATTGTGAAGAGGTGATTCAGCTTTTGACAGAAACAGAAGTCATTCATGAGAGATGCTCCAAAACACCACAGGGAAGTCATAAATTATACATTCATGGATCTCTTTCTCACTGCTTGCTGCTATGTGTGCGTGTGTGCAGTCCTGTCCATCAGTCTTTGGGGCTGCAGTGGCAGGGTTGTTTTGGCCTGTTCTAAAGCCCTGGCCCTCGGCTCTTTCCCTTGTTTTCCCAGCATGCCGCTGGTATGGGTGTGGGCCCTCCTATGGCCCCGCTCCAGACCTCATATCCAGCAGCCCTTTCCGAAGTTCCCCCTCTTTTCAAACATATTTGTCCTGTTCACTCCTTCCTTCCTCCTTCTCTCTTTCTCTCTCTCTCTCACGTCAGTATTTCTCTGCTGCTTCTTTTCCCACGTTTAATGTAAGGTGTGGGAGATACGTGTGTTTGTGTTTTGTGATGTGACGTGAAGTTGAGCAGCAAAGCAGCGTTCCTCCGGGAGCCTTAGATATGGAAGATATGGAGAGCTTTTCAGCTTTGTCAGTGTTTCTCACATTCAGTAGCTGCAAGCGTGACAGCTTGCTGTTGGTGTGGTCTCTGCAGATTAAAGACAAGCTCTGCTGAGTTCCATGGCCCTGCTATCATGGCTATATTTGTTAGTGGTGCCTACAGTATCACCTATCAGACCTGCATTGTCCAGCATTCAGTAGAATGAGCTGAGGATGTGCCAGTCAGCGAATTGTGAGCAGAATCAGTTAATACTAGGGGTGCAAAATATGTCGTCAGCTGATTTTGTGCAGTAACTTAGAAAATGTCTTTATTGTTAATGGAGTAATTATAGCTGATGATGACAACCAATAATTCTGTGTCCTGTTTTTAGCTCAGGTATGCACTAATGCACAAGTGCTATATATATATATATATATATATATATATATATATATATATATATATATATATATATATATATATATTTATTTTTATTTTTATTTTTTTTCCAGTTCAGTCGAATGGAACATAGTGGTAAATAGCTCCGCCCCGCACATGAGACATTGGAGGTTCAGTTTCCCATCCAAGCAGTAACACCACTGCTATACACTACGGGTGCAGTGTTATGCAACTTTTATGATGGGATACATTTTGCTGTTTTTGCATCATTTTTGCATCAAATGATTTGCTAACTTTTGCATTTATTTATTTAACTTCGATAATTCCAAAAATATTTTTTCCTCAAAAAACAGTGGGGTATCGTTTTATTTATTTCATTGTCTTAGAAAACATATCAAATAAATAAATAAATAACATAAACAGAAGTGCAGGATGTACGTTGTTTTCGGCAGGCGTGTGTTATCATGGCTCATAATAATAGAAATACACCAAAAATATGTGGATTATAAGGCTCAAAACTAAACTGAGCTTTACAAGTTCATTTAGAGTCAGATCTTGTGTTAGAATATAGAGCCTGGCTCCTGCCTTCTGGTTGAAATGAGTGCAAGAGGGGATTTTCTAACACGACGCATTCACTCTGAGCCAACTGCGGGATTTCTGACTCATGAACCCGAGTAGCGATCGGAAGCTATAAGCATCCCTGTCGAGTTATTTGTTTTACTCATTCAGAATTAGCACTTGACGGCTACTTGAATGGGGAAGTACAGTGCTGTGAAAAAGCATTTACCCTCCAATTTCTTAAATATTTTAGATCATCAAAGTAATTTTAATTTAAGATAAAAACAACATGAGTAAACACAAAGTGTTGCTTTTAAACAATCATTCCTTTTATTTAAGATTTCACCCATGTGAAAAGTAATCGCCCTCTAAAACTAATAACTGGTTGTGCCACCCTTGGCAGTTTGCAATAACTTGCGATGAGTCTTTTATGTCACTGTGGATTAATTTTGGTCCACTCTTCTTTGCAAAATTGTTTTAATTTGGCTACATTGGAGAGTTTTTGAGCATGAACTGCACATTTAAGGTCTTGCCACAGCATCTCAATGGGATTCAAGTCAGGACAGGAATTTTGTTGCTTTTGAGCCATTCTAAGGTGGACTTGCTTACGTGCTTCAGGTCATTGTCCTGCTGCATAACCAAGCAAAGCAGCCCCAGGCCAGCACACTACCACCACCAGGTTTGACTGTTGGTATGATGTTCTTGTGGTGAAATGCAGTGTTAGCTTAATGCCAGATATAACAGGACTCCAAAAAGTTCCACTTTTGACTCAGCACTCCACAGAATATTATTCCAAAAGTGTTGGGGGTCATCTAGATGCAGATACAAGACAAGCCCTTGTGTCCTGCAACTGTACGTTGACCTTGACTGAGGCAAGTGAGGCCTGCAGTTCTTTAGAAATTCCACTGGGTTCTTTTGCGACCTCCTGGATGAATTATCCATGCACTGTTGGTAAAATTTTGGTAGGCTGGCCACTCCTGTGAAGGTTGACCGCTATTAGAAATTTTCTTCATTTGTGGATAAAGGCTCTCACTGTGGTTGGCTGAAGTCCCAGAGCCTTTGTAATTCTTTCCAGACTGGTAGATTTCAATGACTTTGTTTCACATCTGTATTTAAATCTCTTTAAAAGGTGGCATCATATGCTGCTTTTTGAGACCATCTAGCCTGCTTCACATTGCCAGACAGGTTCTATTTAAGTGTTGTTTAGATTCAACAGGTCTGGCACTAATAGTTCCTGGATGTTGCTAGTAAAGTTGAACCCAATAGTCATTTGAATTTGATTAACTGGTTGATTGTAGTAGCTAAGGTGACACTTACTTTTTCACATAGGGCCAGGTAGGGCTGACAGCATTTTACCTTCAATAAATCATGAGATCATCATTTAAAAGCAAGATTTTGTGTTTACTTGGGTTACCTTTGACTAATATTAAAAGTAATTTGATGATCTGAAACATTTAAGTGTGACAAATATGCAAAAATAGAAGAAATTGGAAAGGGGCCGAATACTTTTTCACAGCACTGTAGCAGCTATTACTCACATTTTGTACTCGCTCCAGTAACTGAGACGTTTGGATGATGTCTTCACAAATTAGGTAGTGTAGTTGAGGTATTTTTATGTTCTTGGTTTTTGAGAAATATCATGGATCGTTTTAGACAGAACTATAGAAATCATTCGCAATATCATGTGTTTATAAAGTGAAATCTAACTGTATTTGATTCACAATGCGTATTGCAACCCTTTATCGTAAAAAAGAGTATTAACATGCATATTGTGACATCCCTAATATACACACACTTCTATATCGCTACGAGTATATATACCCACATAGCTATATTGATAAGATTCCTTGGACAAGACTTCTAATGCTGCCTTCACCTGTCATTCTACAACTACTGTCACTCCGGGTAAAGGCTTTTGCTAACTGATGTAAAATATTTACATGAAATAACCTAAATGTTTACAATAATTCTAATGGCAGATTTAGCTACCTCATAGCTGCGTGAAATGAATCAATAATCTATCTAGGGCTAATGTTAACAATCATTTTGTGAACAATTAATCTATTTATCTAAATTTTTGGATTTAACCAATTCATTTTCATAACAAAACTATAGGACAATACAAATGCGATTACAAATACCCATATTATTATTTTAACAAGAAGCAATTTCAAAATTATTTATTAAACGTTAAGACTATATCAAGAACTACCAAAACATACCAAGACATCAGTAAGCCAGCATGTTTCTCAAAAGAAAAATAAACACATTCATTTTCAGTGGTTTAAATAGGCTTTTATAATAGCCTTCCACTCTTCTGAGAAGACATTCTACTAAATTTTAAAGTATGACTGCGAGAATTGTCCATTCAGCTACAAGAGCTTGTCATTGATGTTGGGCATTAAGGCCTGGCTTGCAATTGGCTTTCCAGTTCATTTCAAAGGTATTTATTGGAGTTGAGGTCAGGGCTTTATGCAGGTCAGTCATGTTATTCCACACCAAACTCATACCTTCACCGTAACCAGTGAGCCCAACCGAAACCTTGAATAAACTGCCGCAAACCATTTTCTCTCCTCCACCAAACTTTACAATTGGCATGGTGCATGCTGGCAGGTTTTTACTGGCATCATCAGATATGGTGAAATGTGATTAATCATTCCTGAGAGCATGTTTCCACTGCTTCAAAGTCCAGTGGTGGTATACTTTGCAACACTCCAACCAGTTCTTGGCATTGTACATAGTGATCTTAGGCTTATGTGTGGGTGCTCGACCATGGAAACCCTGTCCAAGCTCCCTGATCAACAGTTATTGTGTTGACCTAATATCCAGAGGCAGTATGGAACTTGGTAATGAGTGTTACTGAGAATAGATGATTTTTGCATACTTCAGCAGTTGATGGTCACATTTTGTGAGCCTGCCCCTTTGCAGCTAGGCTGTTGTCCAGGCAGGACATTTGTACTTGACAGTAACAGTGTGTACAGTTGACTGGGGTAGCCCTAGCAGGGCTGACGTTTGACAAGCTAATGTCTTAGAAAGGTGGCATCTTATGACTGTGCCATGTTGAAAGTCACTGAGCTCTTCATTACGACCCATTCTGTTGCCAGTGTTTGTCTTTGGAGATTGCATGGCTGTAGACTTCATCATATGCACCTTTTTAGAAGTGGGTGTATCTGAAATTAAAAGGATGTGTCCACATACTTTTGGCCATGTAATGTATTGCGATATTGAACATTATAAATATAACCCAGCAGTTGTGGTAACTGTAATGTTATCGGCATCTGTGTTATATAATGTGTCTGTGTTTGCTGAATTTTCTCAGGATGTTTTCCAGTACAAGGCAAGCTCAACCCTGCATGCAAGCTGTACGCAAGTTAACAGCATTAGCTACTTGTCATGTAAGATGAAACTTCAAACGTCTTAAAACCACATGTTTTTGATACAAAAACAACCCCTTTGGTCTGTGTCATCTCTGAGACGAGGCCTTAGGCTCTCACACAGCGACTGCTCACTGCTCTATGACTGAACTGTCTCTGGGGTTTTGGCTATTCAATGCCTTCCCCTGTAACGAGCAGTGCTTTCCAAATGGCCAGCGCTCCTTTTTCAGACAGAGCGATTGATTTCCCTTTTAGTCATCCACCCGCTGCTGGACCCCTCTCGCAAAAGCTCACCCGCTTTGAATTCTCTCGCTGTGCCTATCAGAAGGATCAATTAACTCGCACTCACTCCTTCTGCCCCCTTTATCTCTCCCTCCCTTTTGTCTCAGCATGGATGTGTGCGAGTGAGCCGTATTACCTGAAATAGAATCATTCTCTGGACCCTGCAGGAAGGCCACTCTGGGCGTTGTCATGTGTGTTTCATACAGTGAATTCAAAGTGCAGGAAGATTGAGTTACAGCAGAGGAAATGGAGAAGGTTGAGACTGGCCTTCCTACCCAGGCTTGTCACGTGAAAGCGCCTGCAAGAGTTGGCACTGGTATCCCAGTGTTCTTCTCAAAGATGGGTTCCCATGGAACGCCAGGCTAGCCACAAAGTAGCTGTCCCTTTTTACCCAGAGGCACCCAGAGACAGCCTGGAGTACTTGTTTATGGCTGACATGCTTGTTCCGGTACCCTTATAACACCAACAGCTCAGCGTTTTGAACCGCTTTCTGATCTCGACTCTGTTTTGTTCCAGCAGGCAGCTCTCCTCACCGCTTACTGACGTCATTCCGTGTCTTTTGGGAGCCAGCACAGTCATGCTGTAGCTAATCTGTGCTTTTGTAACTTATTCTGGTGTCATTTAGCTGTTACTAAACATCCCTGCATCCTGCAGAACACAAACAAAAAGAAGCGGTTTGTTTTTGAATAGAAGTGTCCAATAATATCTTCAGTTGCTATGTAAAGATGGCCTGAGGGGGAAAGGCTGTGTGGTATGGCATGACACGAGATCTCTTCTGTGTCTCTTCAATGGGCCGGCTTATGACAGAGGTCATACCCGGCACTGTGTTTCGCTCAAAATGTGCTTTCTTTTACAGGAACACAAGCTTCTCTCTCTCTCAGACATACAGAGTGAGTCACTCGCAAACTGGTTCATTTTTCTCTTGTCATTGAAAAATCCAATAAGCTTTACACAAGTGCCCATTGTCTCTCTGTATGTGGTTATAAATATACCAACTCTCCTTAAACTGTCCTCTCTTTGTGTCTGCAGGACTCCACCTCTGTGACCCCTGTGACATTACGAGTTGATCCCCAGGGCTACTTTCTTTACTGGACTGATCAGAATAAGGTGAGTGCTTGTCACATCAACTACCATTCATGTATGTTACTGTTAAGTGATTTCCAAAATTTGGCTACATTCCTGCTGATTTGTCCGTGACACCACTGTCATAACAAATTATAATAAAACCTGGGGTGGGTTGCACCAGCAGTATGTAAGTGCGACACATAGGCTAGCTATAATGAATAACATAGGCTAGTATAATGTAAGCGTTAAATAAGCTGTGTTTTATGCGTTACTACATCAACCCACGTTGCTCAACACAAACTAATTTCCACATTGAACTTAGTAGTTACTACATATTTGAACTTCATTCAGTGTTGGGGAAACATTAACCACATAGAAAGCACAGAAAAAGACTAAAAACATGACTTCTTCTGGTTAACTAAGCTAAAACATTTGACGCTACATACTGTGATTTTTTTTTTTACTTACAATTCTAATCATCACTCTGATTTTCAACACCTGGAGCTGAAAGAATAAACAGTTGTAAAGAATTGTAAAGAAGAACAGTTCTTTGTCAGTTTTGTTAATTTCAACTCATAAACATTGTTTACTTCTATACTGGATATTTTTTGCATGGAAAAAATCAGCACAAGCTGTTGTTGCATTTCCATGGCAACAGGTTTATAGATTGGTTCTGACATGCTGTTGTCATGTTAAAGTGATGTATGCATTAGTTAGTTGTTACTAATTAAGACAAGATTTGTGGTGCAGCTAGATTTAGTTAAAGGATAGTTTGCTCTTGGACGGAGTGTATTTCAGTTTGTAAAAACAAATTCCATTGGCAGGGATGTACAGGGATGTATTTATTTTTGCTCGGTTGCTCTCTTTTTCTCTTCTTCTGACAATGTCTTCTTCAGCCTCTGCCATGATGTCCATGCTGGGAATACTGAGTTAGCTTCTTCTTATAGTTAGCTAAAAAGACCCATTGTGGTTGGTGTGTGACGTGGTGCTGTAAAGCGTTACTCAGCGCTTGTGAGAGGTTTCGAGCTTGCTCCTCCAAAGTTACATAGTGCTATAGCAGGCGTTCTGGGCCCGGAGTGGCAAAGACAGAGATGCCATTCTCCCTATTATAAGTCAGTGTACAATCAAAATGATTTTCAAGCTGTTATGTTAAGGTAACATTGTTAACAAAACTTACTGGTAAAATGTTCTTAAATGTAATGTGTGTTAATGCATTTAGTTTTTATTCTGAATAATATTGGATCATTTCTGTAATTCCACACTCTTAGCAAAAGGTTCTATATAGCAGTGGTTCTCACACTGGTCCTGCAGGGACCCCCGGATGGTCCACATTTTTGCTCCAACCTAATTTGTAATGTATACAGAGAGAACGACAATGTGGACCATCTGGGGGTCCCAGATGACCGATTAGAGAACCAGTGATATATAGTACCAGAAATGACTTGAAATGTTCTAGCAGAGCTCTTTTTAATGCTATTTGCCTTTCATAAAGAGAACCATGCAAAGAACCATTTCAGCTAGAGATGGCACAGATCCACTATCAGGTATTGGTATCAGGCTGATATTAGGAGAAAATGCTAGATCGGATATCAAAGGAAAAAAAAAAAATTAATCCCACACAGTCCTGTAACAAATCCAGCGTGTGTGTTTGAGTAGTTTGAACATAGTAGCCGACTTTTAGATGACTATCTTAAGTGCTTGAGTTAAAATTTGTTTATTAGCTCAGTTTTTATTTCCCAATTTTCTCCCCAATTTAGTCATATCCAATTCCACCTACTATTTAGGACTCCCCTAATCACACGATACCACCAGCTCTAGGAGGGCGAGTGCAAATACAAGCTGCCTATGAGTCATGTGAAACCACTCACCCACCACACTACTACTGCTAACACTAAACATCATTGGACAACTGAACACACTTGGAGGAGAACGCTAACCGGCAATTCTGTTACATCAGCTAACAGACGCCTGCGCTGTCTACCATCATTAGTGATGGGGAGCGGAAGGGCTATCCTACCCACCCAGAGAGAGCGAGGCAAGTTGTGCTCTCTTGGACTCCTGGTCACGGATGGCTGTAGCATCAAGCTCAGTATCTTTTTAAAAGGTTATTATTGTATTGGTATCGATTGATACTCATGGTTTCAGTATCGTTATCAGAAAAGAAAAAGTGATATGGTTCTCTGAATTGTCATGGTTCTATATGTAACCATTACCTTCGTTTAAGAACTCTTGAAGAACTTTTTTTAAGGGTGTTTTTTTCATGAAATGTTCACTCAGTGAAAAGGACAGCTGACGTTTTCAAATGGTTTAAAGCATTAAGATAAATGGAGGACAATAAAAAACAATTTTCTGCAGTTTTCACCAGTAGCAACCTGAAGAAAGTAGTCATTTCCTCTTTAACCTGGATCACATTGCAGCATACAACGGGAGAGTTCTTAGGCCTGAAGCTCACTTTGCTGTCTCCCATGACACAGCTTGATTCCCCGCACTATTCATCTCTCTTTAGACGGCCATGGGGTCTGGTGCACTGGCTGATCAGGTTGCTGAAACAAAGACTAAAGGATTCTATCACAAGGAGGCTTGCAAATGCAAAAGGCTTCTGTTGACAGAGATCTACGGCATTAGTCCTCCCTCCAGCCCACCTTTACATAAACACTGCTCAGTATAATCGCTGGATACACACTAGTTCATTAGCGCGCCGCCCCAGCTAATTTAGCTTTGTTAAAGTGTCTTTACTGAGTACAGCAGACTGCATTGTTAAGTGTTATGTCGTGTGTTGTAGCCATGAGTCTATAAATGACATACAGATAAACCTGTATCTACTTATTAGACAGTTTCTTACCTTGCCAAAAGCCACTTTTGCAAAGGGCATTTCAGTCAAGCCTGACTGGGACAAATGCTGCTGACTATATTGCTGACAGCTGTAAGCTAAAGTCATGAAGTCATCACATTGAGACACTTTAAATAGATGAACAGGAATGCCTTGAGCTACTGGAGGGACTTATCAGAATTTTGTTTTTAGCTGCACACATACAGTGCAGTTTATATGTAATTGTGCAATGAGACTTTTTTCTTATTTTGCTTATGTTCTGTTGCTAAATGAAATAGTGACAGAGGGGTGAACGTGCAGACTGTCAGCTTTAATTCAGTGGCATTTATATCTATACTGGGTGAACCATTAAAGAATTACAGCAACTCTAGATGTTTTATTAGCTCTTGTGCAAGAGAGAATGATCCATGAATTAATGAAACAGCCAAGCAGCAAGTTGTCCTATTACCCTAAAATGGCAATTGAACTTTGTATAAAAAGGGCCGTGGGACAGTTTGCCCAGTAGTTACGTAAATAAATGAAACTTAACAGTGTGAAGTGTAACTTTATTACATTTTGAGTACCCTGTATAGCGTACAGTGCCAAAATTATGTCACTGACCAGTTGTTTATGGACTGCACTGTTGTGTTCTGATACTAACTGAGCATGCTTAACTTCCCAGACGTATGTGAAACTGTGTGCGTGTATGCATAGGAGAGATATGGTTATTGAAAGAGAGAGAGGCATTCTTGTATACTGAAGAGGTTGCTAATGGTTTTGATGCTGTGATGAGTAGTGAGTGGGGCTGTCCTCTGAGACGGCTCAAAGTGTGTGAGCTCTTTATCCTTCATCACTCCATCCTGTGGGATGGGAAGAGGATGAGGACGTGTGTTTCTGAAAAATTAGGCACCGTTCCATCATCTCTGCCAGCACACCTTTTCCCAAACCTTGTTAACCACAGCTTGGGGCCCTTGTGATTACTGTAGGACTGACCACCGTAATGAAAACAAATACCTATTTTTAGTGAATTACACAAAGCCATGGAGGCAACCCTAGAAACCAACTCCAATCTGTTTTTGTACTTTCATGTCTGCAGCATTCAATACGTTTATATCAGTCTATTTATGGTAGCATGTTGTGCTCATGAGATTATGAGATTGACTATTGCCATGACGACACACCCATAAAGTGTCTCGATTGGATGTGCCTGATTCGGGAGGCACCAGTGGAATCCAGACGGGTGTAGCCTGAAGAGGCGGAACCATCTGGAGTTCCAGACCCCAGACCTAATAACTCCCGCTTATAAAAAGTGTGTGTTTGAGTGAGTGCATGTGTGTTTGACTTTGTAAGAAAAACAGAGAAGAACTAAACTGACCTTCAAAGTCAGGACCAGCAGCATGATCCTGACTTTGTAAAGAGCTTTTAACAAAAGCTCAGTGGTTAATTTTTTAAAAACTGAATGGGAAAAATAATTTGTATTTGGTTATTGAGGTGAAGTTTAGGGTTAGGTTCAGGGTTAGACTTTGAAAGCCTAACTACATATTTGTAGTTACATATAAAGTACTATGCCAAGGTTTAGACACCTGAGAAAATGTTATGTTAAACCTATAAGGTTTTTAACTGGGCAGTAAGTGTTTTGCTTCAACAAACATTAATATTAGAATTAATACAAACAACATTATTACAAAAAGCATTGGGCCTCATTCACCATCCATTCTTAAGAAGAAATTTCTTGTTAAAACCCACTTACGCAAGACTCTGACTTTCAAACGTTTTCTTATTTGGGATTTGTTCCTAGTTAAGAACAAAATCTACACACACTCGAGAGCACAAAGGTGTAAATGACATTGCGTTTTAAGAATACGTCATGAATCTGAGTAGACTTTTTCTCAGAACCTTTCTCAAGTATAAATTTAAGAAAAAACTTAGGAAGATATTGATGGGTGAGGCTCAGTGATTTTATATATGTTATTGTTTGTGTTAGACCATTTTCAACCCTGTCCTTGAAGTCCAGTATTATTTGTAGTTATTGTCCAAACCCTGATTTGGCTAATCAGTATTTCATTAGTTTAAATCAGGCGTGCTGCTGATGACATGTATTAAATCCATGCAGTGGATGGGGTCATCGAGAACACGGTCTGGAACCAAAGCTCTGTTCTTGTAGACAAAACATATAGTAGTACACAAAAGTTTAGGTGCCCTTGGTCAAAAGACATGCTTTGTTGGTTTTTTT